GGAAATCGAGTCCCAGAGGGGGTAGAGTCTGGTCTGTGGCCACACAGCACGGTGGGGCAGTGGAGACCTGAATTCTGGTTCCCTCCCTGGACAGACCACCCAGGGTCATATCCTGGCGAGCTATGAACTTGAGCAGGTTGCCAAATTCTCGGAGCCCCCATGTCTGCAGCATGAGGCCATAATGGGCCGACGGAAGATGGTCGTTAATAATGAGGGCGCACTGTGCTCAGAGGAAGACATGTACACGTTGGCTGCTGTCACTATTGTATTGTTACCAGCTCTGCCAAATCGTGCTGGTGTCGTGGTGGTGGGAGCCGGAGACCTGCCTGGGCATCTTCCTCTGCTGGGTCCCACCCCCACGGGCTGGGCTGTCAGGGCCGCTTTGGGCCACCACATCCTCCGCTCCTCTCCTTCCATTTAAGAGCCTGTATCAGAGCACACAGACCCCTCCACTGCCCTGTGTGGTGAGGCCCCAGGAGCGGAAGCCCAGCTTGTGGCCTGGGCAGGCGCGCCCCCCAGTGGCCAAGGCTGGGAGCACAGCGGTGTTCCTAGCTTGGCCAGGGCCCTGGCTCAGGGGGCTCCTCTGCTTCCTCAGACCGGCAGGACCTGGAGCAACCGGACAGGGTGGACATGCTGCAGGAGCCGCTGCTGGAGGCGCTGAAGGTCTACGTGCGGAAACGGAGGCCCAGCCGGCCCCACATGTTCCCCAAGATGCTCATGAAGATCACGGACCTTCGAAGCATCAGTGCTAAGGGTGAGGCTCCCACACCTGGAGGGAGGCCCCCTGTGCCCGCCAGGGCCGGGCCCCAACAGCTGGCCTCCGTGAACACCAGTGTCTTTGTGCCCGGGACAATGCCCCCTCATCGGGACCCAAGCTGTCCCCCTCCGTCTAGGCGATGTCCCCCAGAGGCCCCACCAGGCCCAGGGGACCTCCTGCCTGTGAGCGCCAAGGTGGCAGTGTCACCTTTGCTTGGTGGTGACGGGCATGGCTCTGGAACCAGATGGCAGGGGTGCGTGCCCTTGAGCAGGTCACTGAGCAGCTCTGAACCCTTCTGAGGAGCGAGGACAGTGATGGTGTTGACAGGGTTGTTGTGTCGAGGTGTCAGCAGGAGAAGCCATAGCACAGAGCATTTAGAAGGGTGTCAGACCAGGTGGTTGGAGTTAAGAACCACTTTCCTCGCAGCCCCTTGGACTTGGGGACTAAGAGAGCTGGGGCCCGAGTCAGGGCATGGTGGATGCTGAGACTGGAGGGGTTGGTCCTCCGGGAGCCATGCTTGCACCCCGGGCTTGCAGGGCTGGGCAGTGGGGGCATGTGCTGACCTCTGCCCTCCTCTCCTGCAGGGGCTGAGCGGGTGATCACGCTGAAGATGGAGATCCCGGGCTCCATGCCGCCTCTCATCCAGGAAATGCTGGA